AAAAAAACTAATTAAGTATGCGTGTCCGTCAACCTTAAACAATAATCTTTGTCAATTTTATTTTTCAGTCTTTATGATGGTGGATACTTGATCTATCTCTTACTGTTATATCCCCGGGCAACGCCGGGCTCTACTGCTAGTATATATATATATATATATATATATGCTCACTGAAATCACCGACAGCCACACCTATCTACACTTTAAGTTTTCCCACCCTACACAGCTCAAGGAGGACTTTCCCGATTGACAACCACTTAGACTCAGATGGAGATGTTCCAATAATGAAGAGCTAAATAAACACACTCAATAAATATGGTCCAATCTTTCGAGCTTCTTAAGTCATTATCAGCATAGGTAGAAACAATGATGAGTTTCGTAGAAGGAGTGTTATGACGTAAGCTAGGTGTGATGTGTTTATATATATATATATATATATATATATATATATATGTATGTATATATATATATATATATATACATATATTTGAGGTTGAGTTGTATTAAGTTATAATTGATTTTATTTATTGATGGTTGTTTTTGTTCTATGCGTATTGCCACAAGGATAAATCTTTTTCATTATTTGAATTTGCTAGTATTTTTGTATTGCTTGTGGGTGGCTGTCTAATGCTACCATTATTTTTTGTTGCTTATTAATGTTTTTTCTGGTAGTATTATACTCCAAAAAGTGACAAGTGAGTCTCCGTGAGTGTGTGATTCTGATATATCCTATGTAAGAGATTTTGTGTATTTTATTTACAGAGAAACATTCTCCGACTGAGCAAGTATATTCAAGCACACCTAGAGGGTTGGAAGTTTGGCATATATTATAGTTAATAACAGAGTTGTTTGCTTTGAATTTTTGTAGTAAATAATGAATCTGATGTATTTATTTTACGATTGGTTTTATATATCTATACATGATTTTATGTAATTGTGGGGCATTTGAGTTTGATAATATATGCAAATAGTGTTATTGCCAAATTATTTTTATGTCTGGTTGTTATTATAAAAATTGATGTTGCTGAAATGAGATTTGAATTACTTGTCGACTATATAATTAGGGTACCTATTATTGAAGTGGGTTTGTTTTACATTATTTCATTCTTTAAGAAAAAATATTTTAAGTGAGAACACGAGATTAACGGATCAGGTGATTCCTGACGGGAGATTTATATTTTTCATGGCATTGACAGTTGTAATTTAGAAGGCAGAATATAGAACTAGAATGGTGATTTTTTTTATTGATATTTAGGGAACCTTAAACAGAAGTTTAAAAAACAATTTGAAAGTCTATAGTATCAATAACGTATTTGGATTGGATGAAGGGTATTCGTTTTATTAAGCATTTTGTTTTCCAAGTTGTTTCTATAAACGTTTGGAAATAAAGAACTACAAGGGCAATCCAGAGCAACGCGCGTCAGTCTGGGTATATAATACCAAGGTGTTGCCTAAATAAACATAAACACGCACGCGAGAGAATACACACACACACACACACACATATATATATATATATATATATATATATATATATATATAGGGTGCGTGAGGTCAGAAGTTAATATCCCCTATCTTCCACAATCTATATATATGCGTGTGTGTGTGTATATATGTGTATATATATATATATATATATATATATATATATATATATATATATATATATGTGTGTGTGTGTGTGTGTGTGTGTGTGTGTGTGCGTGCATGAATAAATCTAATTTTGCCTATATTTATATGTGCATATATTATCATATATATGCAATAAAAATAACTATCGTACCTCAAGATAACTATATATATATATATATATATATATATATATATATAGTTATATATATAGTTATATATATAGTTATCTTGAGGTAAGGTATATATATATATTTATATTTATATATATATATTATGTACATATATATATATATATGTGTGTGTGTGTGTGTGTGTGTGTGTGTGTGTGTGTGTGTGTGTGTGATAGCAGTTTGTGAATGTATGTGTTACTAACATCCTGCAAATGATTATTCCATTTGAATCATAGTTTTGGCATCCCGAGTGCTTAGTGCTGCATTAAAATCTGATCCCTTGGAGTATTAAATGAAGAATGAAATGATTTGACATTTTTACGGTGTGCGTCTAATAAAAGGCTGTAAATTAGGGCATTTTGGCTCCCGTCTCTCTGTCTAATTTAGCCCATCACCGTCGGGAAATGAGTATGATCATAGTTGAAAGCCAAATAGAAAAAAAAAATATGAAAGAAAAATGTAGAAATAGCAAAAGTTTTTGCGAATGTGTGTTCTTTTTTCACCCCTCCAATCACCAGTAAAATGAAAGAGTACAAAATTGAAACGCTTATACGATGTCAAATTTAAAGAGACAAATGAAGATAACGACTTGCGAGATATGACAACTTAGATCTGTAAAATTTGCTGCAAAACAGCAATGAAATTTACATCGAAAAGGCATTCTGCGCAAGTAGAAATATCTGGTTCTACAAACGGATGAAGTGAATACCATGACGCTAACATGTGACAAGGAACACAGTTTTAGAAGAAATGTTAAGAGCACTTATGCTTAATGTCAGATGGTAACTTCTAAGTCATATATTAAGGAAAGGGTTTTTAAATGATTGATAATGAAGTTAAGACGGGTAGATGAAAACAACGCACGACCTACCCGTCATCATTCTACTCGTAGAAAATGCAAAACAATAGCCTCATGCACACGCGAAATAGTATAAAAATAAAGGAATTATTGTTAAATAATAGTCTATCAGATTATTATTTTATAGAATTATATTTTCCTCTGACTTTTTCATTTTGATCTCTGAGGTCAGATACAGGAAAACAAAGGGAGTCGTTTTTGATTGGTTAAAACTAGTGTGGGAGTTAAGTTTTACACGTCATACACAGTAGACGTGTATTATTCCGTGTGTCAGGGAACCTGATCCCCAATAGGTTGATAGAGCGACTCAACTGGCTAGTTAAAAATGTACCCATCAACGGGTTTAATAAAACAGATAAGTTTTAAAATCCCTTTTGTTGAAGTTCGCTTTTCTCTCCGAATAAAACAACTGATGATCCGCAGACGAGATGAAGAAAGCAACATTATTATTCTGGAATCTACCTACTAACCAAGACCTCCCCAGAAGACGAGGAATGTACAACAGTATTAATTATAATTTTTGGTGAGGATCGAAGTCACTATTCAGTCGTAATTGATCTAGCGGGACAAGTTTGTTGACCATTACACCCCGTCGAAGTGCTGTATTTTCATGTGTTATGGGTTTATTAAGATGCCCTGTCCTCATTTTTCAATGTTGATAGAGTTCAAAAGAGTCTCCACTTCCTTATGGATGACGAATTATTTTCCACCCGTCAGCCTCTCTCTCACAAGCAGTATGTGGTGAGACTCTCATTGCACTATCGCTACTTCCATGGAATGTACTTGGACGAACTAGATTACTTGATTCTACCATGTGAGTTTTATCGGAACATTTTCTATTCATTCGGAGGGCTTCAAATACAACTGGAATTATTGATATCCTTAAGTCCCTCATTTTTTTAATATTTCCCTTTCAAGATTATTATTATTTCCTTTGATTGCTGGTGTGTACACATTTCGTTTCGGGTCCAACCCAGAGACCTAATTTTAGAAATGGCATCATGACATTTTCCACTGACACAAAAATAATATATATATATATATTACATAGATAAAGCCTTCGTAAGGTGTGGGCTGTACTCGCGAGAACATTTTTTTTGTATTTCTTTAAGGCATAGGCTTCCAGGAATCCCTTTAATTAGTCTACTGGAATATTTTCCAACCAATCCGAGGGCTCCAACTACAACAGGGATAGTTGATGTTCCCATGCGCCACATTTTTGAGATTTCTATTTCAAGGTCTTTGTATTTTGATAGCTTTTTGAAGATCTTCAAAGACATTGCAGTCCGCAGGGACTGCCATATCAATAAGGAGGCACTTTTTTGTTTGTTTTCAGTCTCTAATAGCAATGTCTGGGCTGTTAGCTTTGATTGTGTTGTCTGTGTGTATTGTGCATTCCCATAAAATTGTAACAGGTCCTATCTCCGTAAACGGGTATTATTATTATTATTATTATTATTATTATTACTTCCTTGAATTTCTGTTGTATACACATTTTGCCCCTGGTACTAACCAGAGACCTAAGGCCAGAAATGGCTTCATTTTCTACTGATCATATTTGTTACCCTACGTCCATTAACACGCACATTTTACATAAATAAATCTCTTCGTAATGTGTAAGCTGTACTTTTCAATAAAATGTTTTGTATTTCTTTAAGGCATGGCCTACCAGCAATCTCTTTAATGCGTCTATCGGTATCTTTTCCAATCAATCTGAGGTCTCTAACTAAAACAGGGATTATTGATGTAAGCATGGACTACATTTTTGAGATTTCCACTTCAATATCCTTTTATTTTGAAGATACACTACAGTCTGCAAGGACTGCCATGTCAATAAGAAAGCACATTCTCTTCTTTGACGCATGTGTGTATTGTAAATTTCCATAAAATTGTCATAGGTCTTATCTCTGTAACGGGGGCTTAATGATGTTTATACCAGTCTCTTGCAGTTTACTTTCCGTAAAAGTTGCATATTTTTCAGTGCAGATATTGGTGCACTGCATCATGCTGAGTTTTATATCCAGTGTGTGCTATTATTATTATTATTATTATTATTATTATTATTAAGGCGATGCTGCTACTGAAAACAGATAATGTAAAAACAAAAAAGAAATATGACCTCCGGTATTAAGAGAAAGAGAGCAACAATATATAAAACTCATGATGGTAATGAGAGGAGATGACGGTCGATACACCATGCCGAATATAGAGACAGGGTTATTGTGGGACGTCAGTGACAATAGGGATCATGCGGTTTCACGAAGTCACGCCTGTCAATAGTATACAGAAGAAGAAAACGGGGGAGATCTTACGGATGAGAGAGCAATTCCACAGGCTGTTCAAAAGTGCCGCGAATAAAGAGGGGATTCAGAAAGAGAGAGATAGAGATAGAGAGAGAGTGAGTGAGAGAGAGAGAGAGGAGAATGAATAAAAGACCTTTCTATGATGGTATTTATCTGGAAGTCATGCTTGTCGCAAAAGGGAACATTCAACAATGTTACTAGCGGGCTCTTAAAAAAAGAAAAGAAAAAAAAAAAAATGAAAATTCGGTCATCACGATAAAAAGAACGCTGTTCAAAATCAAAGATCAAAGTTAATGAAAGAGACAAAAGAAAACGCCTGCAGGGCGAACAGAGAAAAGATCGACGCTTCCCCCTCCATTGATCGGAAACAAAAAGTAAACTTAATATAAATAAATAAATAAAGAAGAGATATGCATTTAGAGTGACATCAAAAATAAACAAATAAAATTGACAAAGTAAAAAAAAAGCAAAGGAGATTATATTTATTCACAAAGCTATTCTATTCCATATCAAGCTAACCTCTTACTGGAGATATCTCTCATCTCTATCGTTAAAACACCGGTTTACGTACGATCACCGAAGTTAAGCAACGTCGTGACTGGTCCGTAACTAGATTGGTGAGCAATTGAGAATAAAAGTTGCTGTAGACTCGGAAGTGCGGAAGATATAATGCGTAATGGCTCGGAATTGTTAATCGGAGATCCGAGTTTCCATTTTCCGTTCGTTATATTCATTTACGAGCAAATACATTGGGAAAGGTACACTATAATCACGCAGGTGCAGAAGTTTAAATATCTGGGAAGTGTTTTGACGAGGACGGTAAGTACGACGCTGAGATCCGAAGACATATTTGGATGGACAGGGACGCATTCCAAAAGCTGAGTCAGGAGGACAGGGACGCATTCCAAAAGCGAGTCAGGAGGATTTCTTTGGCAACAAAGAAAAGAGTACTGAGCTACTACATGGTATCTGTCCTTCTTTGCGAATGTTGGGCAGTCTCCTCAAAGATTAAGAAAAGACTGTGTTTCTATAGAAGGGTACTGAGGACATCATGGACCGAACGTGTGATCAACGATGAGTTTTTGGAGAGGATGCAACCAAGGAGGAGGCTTATACTTAATATCAGAAAGAGGCGGCTGATGTTTCTGGAACACATAATGAGGAAGGGGGCCTGGAGAATCTGATACTTACGGGTCGAATAGAGGGAAAGAGACACGAGGAAAAACAACACATGACATACGTGGCAGATTAAAGCAAGGAGGTGACAGAACGTGGTCTGGTGGAGGTAGCAGAGGGACGAAACTTATTGAGAACAACAAGGAATAGGGAGAAGTGGAGAGCCATGATCGCCTACTTTCTGAAGTGACATGGCACATAAAAAGAAAAAAAAAAAGAATTAATTCACCTCTTGTCACCACTAAAATTAGTATCACTAAAACCATTATTATCACACAAAAAAATGAATATCTCAAAATGAAATAAAATTGCATATAAAATATTTAGATTTTGCTATGAAACAAAACATACAGGTTCATATGTCGACAACAAAAACCAATCTTTTCTCTATTATGCATATATATATTCAAAAATCGTACGACTCATACAGCAATCGCTATCACTTGACTTAAAATATTATTGCCCTTCCTTGCCTTTAAAGGAGTGCCGTTTGCCGTGCTGATGTTGCTACATGCCTTACTTCTTGCCTATCTCACACTGCGAGTTTTTCTAAGCTCTTTACTAAACATTAAATCTGTTACGAAAAAAGAACTAAACAAAATGAACACAAAACGATCAGCTTTAAAAAAGGACTCGTAACTGGAAAAACCGAATGAAAAAAGAATGTTAACAACAAATACTTTTTCAAACCCAGCCCAGTTCTGCGGAATCAGAATCAACGTTGAGTTTAAGCAAGCGAATGAGCCAATTGGAGTAAAGGGCCATGCAGATTTAAATTTTTCCCACTTGTGACGAATGCAGCTATCGATTTTTTTTTCATGCTAGCATGCTAGTTAACACTCGTGTCAGTCAGCTGTTGGCTTTCACACTGGCCAATAGAATCTTCCTGCCTATTCGTGGCAGCCAGCTATATGCTCTCACTCTGGCCAGTACAAGATGGCCGCAAACTACATGAAAAGTGCCGTAGAAGCATAAAACATCGATTATTTCCATTATCGATGGGAGTTGGGAAATGCAAAGTCGGTATTGACCTTCCCGCTAACTTGGAGCATGTGCTTGTAAATTTTGGTGCAAATACGTCGAAAATTACGGCTGTGCATTCGTTACACACACACACACACACACACACACACACACACACACACACACACACACACACACACACACACATCCTGCCTTTTATAGATAGAGATGAAAAATAATTTCCTTAAGGTTCCTTTATTTCTCGATATCAATATATTTGGCAACATATTCAGTAAATCTTATGTCAACTTGGTCCTGGGGCAAACATTATGTTTAATACCTTCATTACAATATAAGAATAGCATTAACTCAGTGTCGTTTTCAAGGCAAGAGCAAAAAGAACCAAGAAAAACAGAATTTCTGGTGATAAACCAAGGCGGACGATAGCAGGTACTGAATTTCATTGTTTACACCGGAACTAGTGTTTTCATTTTGTCTTTAGCATCTGAAATACATACTAGTTATTGTTATGCCTTGTTTAATTCCATAGAGTCCATAATATTCAGCAACTAAATTTACGGAAACAGCTGCATGTTATATTTCACAATGAATGAGGAAAGACATCCTGTTCGTTGAAACTCTCTATGTAGATAATATGTCCTCATAACAGGACAGTATTTTAAGTAAATATGGAATTGATTTGTAATTTTTATATTTAATATATCCTGAACATGATTATAATGAAATAAAATATCGTACAAACATGACAGATGATCTACCGCATTTGTCGAGATGTAGCTGAAATAATATAGTGATCTAATTTTTAATATATATATATATATATATATATATATATATATATATATGTGTGTGTGTGTGTGTGTGTGTGTGTGTGTGAATGTATATAGTTATATATAAGTGTGTGCGTTTCGCGTATAAACGTATGTTAATTTAAATGTTTCTTAGAATGCTGAGTAAGAATCAATTTCCGACATTCTTTAAGAGAATATTTACTCTTGTAGAATTTCTACGGGACCGTGTATATATATATATATATATATATATATATATATATATATATGTGTGTGTGTGTGTGTGTGTGCGCGCGCGCGCGTGCGTGCGTGCGTGTCTGTTTTGTGTGTGTGTGTGTGTGCATGTCTGTGTATGTGTCTGTGTGTGTGTGTTTCTGTTTGTGGCTGCGGCTGTGTATGTGGGTGAAAATTAGGATATTATATACATAAGACTATTTAGATTTGTTGAACTAACTTTCTTTATCTGATGGCGCCGTTTCGTCGCCGAAATATCTAAAAATAATGGCTTCCCCAATTGTTTTTAAGCACTGAAAAAATGTTCAGGTACAATTAATGAAATATACGAAAGTGGGAATATATCGGAAGACTGTAAGAAATTCCTTTACATAGCGTAACCAAATGCAAATTAATGTGTGCTCTATCGGACAATCAGCCTAATGAATCACATCTTGAAACTTGATGAATACAGCGCGCAGTAGAATTAAACCGGAAATAGAATAAGAGCTGTACAGTTGCGCTAAAGACACTGGCACAAGAAATGCTCAGAATCATAAAAATGAGCAACACAAGTACAAATGTTTACCTATTAGTATCTGTCTATATTTCTGAGAAGAGGTATTAACAGGAGATAACTGACATCCATTAGACATGGCACGTGGAACTAGAACAGTCTACCCCAGTGAGCAAAATAAATTTTTAAATTTATATAATGGCCGACATTGACGGCATTCTCACCTTATCTAATTGATTTAGAAAGGTTTCGACATTTCAACCACCTAAAGAAGGCCGGAGCGTACAACAGCCGAAACGTTGTGATAAACATGGCGACAAGTATAGTCCAAATAATGTAAATAGTGGTTGTTTACCTATGTTTATAGATTATGCAAAGAGTTTTGATAATGGCCGATACAAAGAATCTTTTCAGTTGTTAGGTAATTTTGCTTTATGTGCAAAAGACGTTAGAATCACCCATAATTTTTTTCCGTGTGCAATCCACCTACACACGGATAGAAATGATTTCTGTAAATATACAAAAATAGAAACAGACCGAAGAGATTGCTATCTTCTCACCGGACTTATTAAATATTTACAATGAGGTGATCTGATTCCTGTAATAATTAGAAGTTCTAGAAGGAGATCCTATAGTTTAATGCAGGTAGTAAAGAAGACGAGAAGAAAGAACGAAACATCAATTGTAAGAAGACATAATGTATGGCTGTCACAAAATGAATGGCCCAAGATATGAATTACGAATTTGAGACAGAGAAATCAAGTAGGTACAAGAAGATACATATATTTACAGCCAGGTCTCATTATTTTACTGTTGTGCTAGGTATAAGCGTATGTTCTATTCTAATAGTGTGTCCTCTAATAGTGTTTCTCAATTATGGAACTTACTTCCAGCTTCTTGCTTTCATCTCTGGCACTTGTTCATAGTCGAAGTCTCTTCCGGCTTCCTGCATTGCCGTTGACTAAAAACTGTAGAAGTTTAAATGTATCATTAATCGACAACTTCCGGTTCCCTAAATCTCGTTCTTTTATATAAATTTCTCCTCAGCATTTTTTACGGCTTTCTGGCGATCCAGATCCTGAGATAAAATAAAAATTAGGCGTTCTAACGTAACATTTCGGTGCCGATCTCAGATATGTAGTCCCTTTTCACTTACCTCCTCTAGTTTTTGAGATATACTTGTATACATATACGTAAGATATATACATGGTCATGCATTCAATTCTAACAAATGTGCTCAGTTTAGGATAGTGTTATTTTTTTTAAATTTTAATTTTTAGGATTTGTATTTTTTTAAATTGATATAATGGCCGACATTGACGGCATTCTCACCTACTTGAGATAAATTGATTTAAAAACGTATTTTGGTTTTCCATGATGCTAAATGTCAATTTAGCTGTTAAATAAATTCAGAGATATGTCTTCAAACACGACTAACAACAAATATAACACTTATAGTAACACTTGCATATATATCTGTATAACTTCGTTAGTTTCACATGTTGCTTTGTTAGATCCCATAGCAC